ACTTCAGGTTATCTGAATGAGGGCATTGTAAGGGGTAAAATCAGGGTTTAAAGATCCAGGCTTCCCTCTTTAGCAGAAAGGGAAACTGAGGCCCTGCCATATGGCAGCAAACATGTCAGTGAGTCAAATGTGTCTTGTGTCCTCCAGTCCACACTCAGGAAGGCCAGCTGTCCTCAAGCATGGCCTTTACCCTGAGCCTGCACTCTGGAGCCTGTACAATTTCAACAACTGAATGACCCTTGACCTTTGACCTGCCATCTGTGTCTCCCAACATCCAACTACTGTCCTGGCCCAGATTCTACCTCTCACTTGGAGGGTGACCCTGCTTACAGCTTCCTGCATTCATGTGTATGTGTGTGTGTGTGTGTGCTCATGTGTGTGCACACACAGGTGTGAATGTACAGGTCAGGGGTCAACCTGAGGGGTCATTCCTCAGACACTGTTCACCGTCTCCCCCTGTAGGCTTTCTCACTGAATTCAGAGCACACGGGCTAGACTGCCTGGATGGTGAGTCCCGGGATCTGCCGTCGTCCAGCCCTGAGATTACGCCATGCGCCAACATGAGGATTCTGGGAGGGAACTCAGGTCCTCACTCATGCACAGCAGGTACTCTACCAGCTGGGCCATCTCACAGCTCCACGCTCCATGCCCACGCATTCATTCTTGCATGTGCGTGAGAGCATCTTCACATGTGCGTGTGCAGGCCCGAGGCTGAGGTCTGCAATCATCCTCGGTAGCTGTTCTACCTTATTCACTGAGGCAGCCCCTCTCAATCAGACCCAGAGCTCCTAAACTGACTAGTCGCACTCATGCGCCATCTTGCTCTGGGGAGCCCCGTCTCTGCCTTCTGAGACTGGGATTACAGCCAACAAACCCACCCAGCGTGTGTGTTGCTTCCTGGCGCATTTGAACTCGGGTCTTTACACTTGCACAGCAGCTGCTTTTCCTGCTAAACCATCTCCCCAGCCCCAACCCATGTTCCCACCCACAGCTAGAGGGCTCAACTGGAAACAGAAGCTGTCTCAACCTGTGTAGAATAGACAGTGCTCAGGCAGCTGACAGCTGCTGTCCTCACACAGCCCGCCTGCCTGGCCTTCAGTCTGCGGGCATCTCAGAGCCTGGGCTCCCTGAGGGACGCGGCATGGGGCCCCGCCCTCCTGAACAAGCAGCCCCTTCCTTTACGCTGTCATCCTGCTATGGTTTTAGCCAGGGGCTTCGTACGTGTCCTGGGAGGGCCCCCAAGGGACCACCGTCCTCATAAAAACTCTGGGGAGAACGGGGCCTGCCGGTGCACACCTGATTCCAGGCACTCAGGAGGCTGAGGCAGGAGGATTGAGAGTTCAGGACAAGGACCAGTCAGTCTTGTAAAACTAAACCCCTCTGGGTGTGGCCTGGCATTCTCTGGCCCTGAACACCCCATGTCCTGTTACAGCTCATTGCGGGAGGAAACAGCGTGCCGCCTGTGACCCCTGGGAGGGGAGTCTTGCGTGCCGGCGGCTTCCTGCAGTCTCGGCCCAATGCCTTCCCCTTGGCTGGCTCCATCTGGTACGCGGCTGCTTTATTTATTTATTTATTTTTTTGCAGCCTTGCTCACCAGGCACTGAACATGGTGTTGGGGACCCTTGCCCTAGACCTTTGCTTAAAATGCCTTTGGTTTCCCACTACTCTAAACGGTAAAGAACGAGCCTTTACCCCTACTCCGCCAAGGCCCACTCCTCTTCCTCCTGCTTGCAGCTCTCATCTTACCTGCCTCTCCCTAGTGGGCTGTGCTGCCTCCATTCAGCCTTTGTACTAGGCAGGTTTGTCTGGCCTCAGGCCTTTGCACAGGGGGCTTCCATTGGCCTGGATTATATAATCCCTCTCACATTGTCATCTAGCTTCTCTTCCCTCTTTTAGGGTCCTCCCAAGTGTCCCAGCTCGGGGGTGCTGGCTAGCCTGCCCCCTGTTATACACTCGTGCACCTTTTTCATCATCCTCACTCCTGACTGAATACCCCCAGGGTGCAGGCTACCCAGGCTTCCCCTCATACTGTACCTTCCAAGCCTGGCAGGTCCACAGGCTCCACACTCAACAGTGTGGATGAAACAGTGCAAATGAACACACACATCAAGTGTGGCCCAGCGAGAGGCAGGGCCCAGCGTGAGCCCACCTGCCCCGCCCCCAACCCCGGCTCTGTGTTCTGAGGAATGCCTATTTATAAAATCAGGGAAGTCTGTAAATAGGTGTTGAAGATTTTCCTTCACTAGGGCGGGGAGGAAGTTTGAGGTTTGCAAAAACAACCCTGTACCGGCTGACTAGCCCAGGTGGGGGAACTAGTGACCTGGGTCTGTCCACAGTCACGCTCCTCACTCAGCCCACCCTCACCTGGAAGACCAGGGAAGGCGCTTAGAGGCTAAAGGGGGCAAGGATTTTCACAAGGATGGAAGGGTGGTGCTCCCTCGCCGGTCCTAGAACATCCTCTACCCCGAGAGCGTCACACTGAGTCTCCACAGCAATGCCACATCCCTGCTGCGTGGGTCCAGGCTGGCCTCATTTACTGATGTCACCAGGAACAGAGAGGCCAAAGGACTCTGTGGAAGTCGCACAGCTAGTGGTAAACACAGCCGGACTGTAATCCAGGTTGCTCGACGGAGGCCCCCTGGCTTCCCGCATGGCCCACTAAGAATGTGGCCCAAGGCTCCTGAAGCCCATGCTGGTGTGGGCCTGAGACAGAGGTTCTCCAGAGAAAGGAACAGCCAGGCCTCACCCCTGGCGTACCCTGACATGTTGCCCTGGGCAGGATCCTTCCCATCGTCCACTTCCCTGTTCCCTGTCTAAAGGCCAAATGGCAGCCCTGTCCAAACAGGTGTGGGGGGCGCCCTGCTCCTTTCCTCGAGGACAATGATGATGAGGAAATGGGAGCTGGATGCAAAGCCAGGCACATCATCTGGTACCAGAAGCTGAGGCTGTTCCACAAGAGCAGAGAAAGGGTGAGTTGGCCATCTAGGAAGCTGTGAGCTGTCACCCAGGGACCAGTGTGGGGGTGATACTTCAGCCACGGAGCCCACTGAGGAAAGCCCTCAGGCCCTCCCTTGCCGCTCCCTTCTGGAGAGAGCCAAGGAACCTTAAGGGGACAGACATGTGAAGAGAAAGTGGATGTCTCTCTGAAACCCAGTCTGTGTCTCCAACTACCTGAGAGAAACTTCAGCCGAAATGACAGAGGAAAGGTGACCCACGAGACAGTGTGTGTGGCCCTGAACTGTGAACTGTGCTCACTGAGGGCTGGGGTACGTGGGACCTCACTTTTTTAACCTGCAGCCATCATAGAAGACCAGGAAGCACATCTTCCTCAAGAACCTGGAATCTGTGCCTTGGGGCTGCGTCCGTCCTTCTCCCATCTGTCTGTCCGTCTGTCTGTCTAAATAATAAACTACCACCTTTGTTTCAGTCTGGCTCGTCCTGAAACTCTCCTCTACCTCGTGGTCAGGGACCTGACTTTACTTGAGTGGGGCTGCCTGGTGGGTGGGAGCTCTCAGGCTTCCTGGCCCCGGCACCAACAACAGTCCCACAGGGAGGGCGAGCTGCGAGCCCGAATGACTAGGAAATATTCCTACAGTGCTGGGGATGGGACACAGGGCCTCGAGCATGCTAGACAAACCTTCACAACTGAGCAACACCACACCCAGCATCACCCGGCACTCGACAGTCACAAACCCAGAGCTCCTGAGCACACTGTAAGTCCGGTGGCTCCGGAGGAAGTACGCCAATGGGCTGCCCCACCCCCGGCTCTGCACACCTGATTTCCAAGCCCTGCAAATGGGCCAGGTACATGCACTCATCTGAACTGTAGAATAAGACTAGTGGATGGACCACACCCCCTGCTTGTCCCATTGTGGCGGCAGCCTTTGATATATGTGGCAGCTCTCCCCAGGTACCCTTCCACAGACCACTACTTGGTGTAATCTTCACTGTATCTCTGTGAGCTAACACTATTGCTCCCACTTCCCAGAATGGGAAACTGAGAGGCAGGGAAAGAAAAAGGAGAAAGAGACTCTAAGGAAGTCGGTGTCCAGACAGCTGGCCCAGCCTATCTCCAGAGAACTGGTAACTGCCAATCGGTCTGTACGTGTGTGTGTGTGTGTGTGTGTGTGTGTGTGTGTGTGTGTGTGTGTGTGATTTAAAAACAAAAATCTAGGAATTCTGGACAAGTCCAAGGCCATAAAAACAAACTATTCAAGCAAGTATTCCAAAGCATGGCGCACAGGCCCGGCTCAGCCACAGAAGGTATGTGCTCTCTGACCAAAAAAGGGCCAGTCTGCCCCAAGGGATCCTGGCCAGCTTGTCAACAGTGGAGATGGCTCCTTTGTGGTGGCAGCATGCCCCCCCTGGTTCCAGTTCCCCCAGGTGTGTCCCGGCTGGGTTCTGCATTCCAATGTCCACTTCCTCTGCTGCTCCCACACGCAAACACAGGCTGCTGAGGAGCCTTCAGCATCTTACCATTTATCCCTGCAACCGTCCTCCTTTGTTCCAATCCCCAGACCCACCTGGACTCCCATCCTAGCCTTAGCTGCGGCTGCCTCCTCTGGGGACACGTCTCTGCCTACCCCACTGCTCACGGCACAAAAGCACAAGCAAGTCAGCACGCAACCTGGGTCAGTGTTCCCAGCCCTCCAACCCTGTCACTCGCCTCTCATTGCTTCTTGTCCCCGTCTCAGCCCATTTCACATCCGGCATCATCCCACCAGTGTTCCCGGGGATCCCAGCAATCTTCCCTCGCCCACCGGCTCCTCTCCGTAAGTCCCCACAGCACCAAAGCTGAGCCCACGCCTTCATACAGTTGAATATCGAGGAATCTTCGCCTTGCTTTGTTTCGTTGATCTCAGACTCACTGCGTAGCCGGGGATGGATCTCTTGACCTTGACCCTCCTGCTCCACCCCCCAGATGGCTCCCCTGCCACGCCTATAAGAAACACCCACGAGATTCTCCCGTCACAGCAGCAACCTCCAGACACCATATATACCTTTTGGTCATGGGAAGTCATTTTCCTGTTGTCTCAGGGTCCGACAACGAGAGACCTGGTGGCAGACCGGTCACCCTGCGGTCACCCAGTGTGTGCTTTGCAATCTGTCCTCACGAGTCCGTCTGAACAGCACCTGAAAATAAGGTCACCAAATGTTGGAAGTGAACAATCTGGGGAAACAGTCAAACTATTAGAAATACTAATAAACAGGTGCCTGAGCGATGGATCCGCTTTCCAGCATGTATAAGAAGCACTCACCATAGCCAATGAACGGAAATGACCAGCATCCACCAACAGAGGAACAAGAGTGACACAGTGGAATACTATGCAGCCTTTAAAAAGGAACCGTTTTTAAAGCTGTTAAAAAGGAACTGTCAAAAAGTTGCTGTGGAGTGTACGAAAACACCACAGTAAGGGCTGACAGCAACTATGTCCAGCAGGTTGCATGCTGATAGACCTGTAACCCGGCACTCAGGCTAAGGCAGGAGGATTACGAGTTCAAAGCTAGCCCAGACTGCATAGTGAGGCCCTGTCTCAAAATTAAAATAATAATTAAAAAATGGGATGACCAGATGGCTTAGTGGGTAAAGTGCTACACTAAGCCTGACAGCCTGAGTTTAATCCCTGGGACCGACATGGTAGGAGAGAACTGACTCCCACAGGTTGCCCTCTGGACTCCACACATGTGCCATGGTGCGCACGCGCACACACACACACACACACACACACACACACACACACACACACAGCCAGGCATGGTGGCACAGGCCTTTAATCCCAGCACTGGGGGAGGCAGAGGCAGGCGGATCCCTGTGAGATCGAGGCCACCCTGGTTTACAAAGTGAGTCCAGGGCAGCCAAGGCTACACAGAGAAACCCTGTCTCAACCCCCACTCCCAAAACACGCACACATACAATTTTTTTAAAGAAATTCTGAGACAAGCTTGTAACATGTAGCCCTGTCTGGCCTGGAGCTTGCTATAGAGAGCAGGCTGGCCTTGAACTTACAGAGATCCTTTTGCCTCTGCCTCCCTACTGCAGAATTAAAGGTGTGCACCTCCCAAAAAGTAATTTCTTTAAGGTTTATTTTTCAAGTGTGTGTGTGTGTGTGTGTGTGTGTGTGTGTGTGTGTGTGTGTGTAGGATTGAACATGTGAGTGCCCTCACAGGCCAGACAGAAGATTCCCTGGCACTGGAGTGCCACGTGGTTGTAAGCCGCCGAGTGTGGGTGCTGGGAACGGAGCTGGTCTTCCTGAGAAGTGTGTTCTCTCTTCTGCTAAGCCACCTTTCCAGGCGCCCTCGGCAAACCCCCCCCCCCCTTAAAGGAAAACTTTGGACATGGGTGGCTCTTTTTGTTCTCTTTGGTTCTGGAGTGACTGGGTGCGATTTTTCCAAGTTATTTTTAACATAGGTGACGGGGGCATATAGCAAAACTTTTGACTCAGTCTCCATCTGCCGTGGGCCTCCTTCCTAGAAGCACTCTGCCCGGCATCTCTTCGTCCCTCTGTGGTCTTCTCTCTTCACACCCAAGGCCTGTGCACATTCCCCTTCACTTTTTTCTGACATGAATGTGAGTGACATGCTCCTCTCTCAGAACCACACTCATTTCCTTTTAGGGAAGGGTACAAGAGCTGTCTCCCGGAGCACCCAGGCCTTTCCCCCTTGAGCCCAGAAATCTGTCACTTCTTGTATGCACAGTGATTAAATTCAAGGCCGTGTGACTGGAGGCTGCCAGGGGTTTGGGAGGGGACACCCCGGAATCAAGAGGGGCTGTCTAGCAAGCCTCCATGCGAGAGGGAAGGTGCTGCCAGCAGAGAGAAGCCTGAACATGCCGATGGCTGCCACAGCGGAAGGAGGGAGGCTGTACATGCTATGGGCACCCCTAAAAGCTGGCAAGGGCCCTCAGACCCACCCGGAGCCCGAGGGAGGAAGGCAGCCTTGGCGGCCTCTCCATCTACCCCAGGGAAACTGCTTTTAGGCTCGTGCCCCCCAGGGCTGTGAGAGAACAGATGGGCCACTTTTTAAACCATCAAAGGCTGCAAACGGAGGACACGCATCACATCCCGGGAACCACAGTGTGGCTGTGCTCTCCAGGCCGAGGTGCTAACTGCAACGTGAGCACTCCCCTGTGGGGTGCAGTGAGGATCCTGGTGGGCACAGAGGGGGTTTCCCACCGCCCCCGATCCCAGAACCCCACTGAGGCATTCTACACACCGTGTGTGTGTGTGTGTGTGTGTGTGTGTGCGCGCGCGCGCTTGCGCACATATTCCTTCACGTGAGCTAGATATCAAACTCATCCTCATGCTTGCAAAAGCATGTTACCAACTGAGTGTCTTCTCAGCACCCCGCCCTGAGTTATTTTCCTAGTTACAAAAAGAAAAATGGCACCAGTCTGGGGAAGATATTCAAAGACTCAACCCCTCCTGCCGCCGGGTGGCCATGGAGAAACCTCGCCGTGGCTGGAGAGACAGACATCCAGTAACAGGGAATCCCAGATGGCTAGCTACATCCTAGACCTGATTGCTTCATTCCAGAAGGGATCCAAAAAAAAACCCTAGCACGGGCCTGGGCGGTAGAGCCTGCGGCACAGTGGACGCCAAGGGAGCCATCCTCCAAACACCCAGACACCCAAATAGGAGAAACTGAAGGCCAGGCAGGGCGTAGGGGGCGCTGAGGTCTGTGTGCGTGCAGAGGTGGAAAAAGCAGGCTTTTGAGCAACAGGAACTGATAAGTGTGCTCACTTAGCAAGCAGCGGAGCCTGGAGCTGTCTGTGCCGTTCCTCAGTGCCAGGCAGCATGCTGGGTTTCGGGGAGCAAAAGGGAAGGGGCCTGGAGACGACCCACGTGACAAGGGCAGCACAGGGCTGCGAACACACTTCACCACCTGCCTGGTGGGTGAATGAAGAGTAAAGCGAGATGGGAAGCAAGTGTGGCTCGTCCGGTGGCGTGGCCAGACTCCTGAGGAAGTTCGAGGGAGCTTCCCGCACATCAAGAAAATTGTGGAGACAAGTGTTCCAGGAAGAGGAAGGTCCTCTGAAAGCAAGAACTTCAGAGGACAGAGTGGGGAGTGGGCAGAGGAGAGCAGGGCAGGAGATATGAATTAAGAATAATTGTCAGGGTGAGCATGGTGGCGCACGCCTGTAATCCCAGCACTCAGGAGGCAGAGGCAGGCGGATCTCTGAGTTTGAGGCCAGCCTGGTCTACAATGTGAGACCAGGATAGCCAAGGCTACACAGACAAACCCTGTCTCGAAATACCAAAATAACAACAACAACAACAGTAGTCACAGTCAGGACTGGGGGTCTGGGGATAGCCACCAGGGCTCCCGGCTTGTGGGGAACACTGCGGATTTGAAGGACGAGAGCATCAGGGACATGATGGGGAGAGCCACAGAGGATGGAGGTCTGGACTTGGGCATCAGCGTGGCAACACAGACTTGGGATCTGTGTAGGCCAGAACTGTGGCTGCCCTAGATGGAATGGGAGTTAGAAAGAAAGATGAAGACTCTACTGGGAAAGGAAGTCTGGGGACACCAACAGTCTGGGCTTCCTCCTTCTTGTTAAACGATGGCCAGGGAGGGCTGTGGGTTGGCCAGCAGCTCTGCAGTTGGGTAAGTCTTAGCCCCGAGTTTTTCAAAACCCTAGCTTGACCAGCCCTTCTGCTAGGGGAGCCTGGGAGGCAGAAGTTGCTGTCCCTGACCTTGGCCTTACTCAAGAAACCTCAAGCTGCTGGTGGGCAGTCAGGAAATACTGCTAACCTCAGAAAGTCCCCACCAACCTGACGTGGAATGACCGGGATGCAGAAATACTTTCTGAGGGGCAAGCTTAGAGGAACACAGCTGTCAAGTGACCCTGTGCTTGATCTGGGGGGTGGGGTGGGGGGTTGCTAAGTCTCCCCCAGTCATCTCAGCAGTCCCAGGAGGTAGGCACCATTTGGAATGCCGTGGGGCAGAGGAGGGCACGGAGACATGGAGGCAGAGTCCCACGGCTAAGGCGTGTAGTGAGCCCCACATCCAGTGGCAATAGGTGCAGGGCGACTTCTAAAGGGGAGAAGTGCACGCTGCCCTCAGTCTTCCCTGGCCCGGCCACGGTTCTTGTTCCTTGGCACCCCTGAACCAAACAGAAGGGTGCTCAAACTGTTTCCAGAAGGCTTTGCTAAACTGGGCTTCTTGCTAGGGTGCACCGGTGGGCTGGCGTCTTGGAGCCTCCTCCTGGGTACCCCCTTCCCTCCTGCTGTCTCCCTGGGGTGGCTGTGGAGCGGGGCTCCGGGATTGGGGAACAGGATTTAGGGCTTCACACCCACCTGCTGGGAGTTCCGGCTGTGCCTCCTTTGCTGTGCAGTGTCTGGCTCTCTCCACCTGGAAGAGGGGGACACTGTTACTTCTACGTGGTGATGGTGATGGGTGTGGCGGAGCCAGGGCGGTGGAGCCAGGTTAACACACACCAGGAGAGGAGGCGCTTGTCAATACCCCTTCCTCCCTGACCCCCTGCCCCTGGAGGATGGCGGGTGGGCAGTCACGGTCTAAAAACCAGCCTGGGACTCAGTCACCCTCCTGTAGCCTAATCCCCCGCCCCCTCTCTGAAAGCCAGTATGGATAAAGATCCCGCCTAGGAGCAGCAGAGAATCACGAGGATAGAGGGTGGCTGGGGCTTCCTTCCTTCCTCCCTCTGGGGCCCAGCGGCAGCCTGGCGCTCAGGGCAGGGAGCAGATCGCAGCTGCCCTCAGTTTGAGATGCCACTAAGGCTGGACCGAAGAGGGGCGCGCTGGCCTCCCCCCAAACCCTCGTTACCTGGCTGAAGCCCAGCTCGGTTCTCATCCCAGGGCAGAGGCTCAGGCACACCCCTGTTCTGCAGAGCCCAAGGGGGCGGTCCCATGTCCTTGGGGGTGTGGCGTGGCGGGAGTTTCCATGCAAACTCAGAGGCCTAAGGGGGCAACCGGTGCGCTCCCACACAGCTGAGAGGCCCCAACTCCGAAGTGGCTCTCAAATGACAAAGACCAGGGTCTGCACAGGGCTGAGACTCTTCAGCAAGGCAACTTGCCTTGTCCTAGGTGCTGGAGTCCTTCCCTGACCTCCCCTCCTGCCCCCACTTCCCAAGTACCTTTCTCCCTCCTGTCACCAGAGACTAGAGACGGTGTGCACATATCTCTCTGTGTGTGAGATCCTCAGGGAAGGGCTTCCTAGCGTGCCTAATCAGACCCACCACAGCCCAGAGGCCGTGGTCAGGGGGACGAGAGGCATGCTCCAGCCCTTCATGGCTGCTGTTTGGGAGACCCTAGATGCCCTGTTCCTTACAGTTCCGGTGACTTCAGCTTCAAAAAACCAATATGTCACTTTGGCCTAAGTAAGCAGGTCATCTAGAACACTTGTTTTGTTGTAACCACCTGCAGGGGTGGGCTAGCCTCGCCTCCAGACCCTCTGTGTCTTAAGCACAGCCCCCTTTGTGCTGACGACATCTCCACGTGAGGTGACACTGCAAAGGAATGTTATCTACCTCCAATCCACTGGCCTCGACCGGCTCCCCTCTCCTCCAGGCTGGTGGCTAGCTAGGTTTTGTGGTCACCTGGCTCCTCACTCATGCTTTAACAGCCCCACTTCAGTTCCCAAGTCTGCTCCATTTTGAACTTCAGCCTTCTTGTGCTTCATTAAAAACTCACCTATCGGGGCTGGAGAGATGGTTCGGTGGTTAAGAGCATCTGCTGCTCTTTTGGAATGTTCAAGTTCGGTTCCCAGCATCCGTGCTCAGGAGGCAGAGGCAGGGGGATTGCTGTGAGTTTGAGGCCAGCCTGTTCTACAAAGAGAGTCCAGGAGAGCCAAGGCTACACAGAGAAACCCTGTCTTGAAAAACAGCAACAACAAATGTAGCTATGAGCTGGGCATTGTGGCACAGGCAGCAGATCTCTGTGAGTCTAGGACAGCCAAGGCTACACAGAGAAACCCTGTCTTGGGGGAAAAAAGTAGCTATGAGTTGGGTTTTCATTCTGTTGTTTGATTTTTTTTTGGGGGGGGGTGGATTGTTGTTTGGGTTTTGGTGACAGGATCTCTCTATGTAGCTCTGGCTGTCCTGGATCTTACTATGTTGACTAAGCCGGCCTTAAAGTCACACAGATCTGCCTGCCTCTGCCTGCTGAGTGCTGGGGCTTTTCCTGCTTATAGTTAATGTTTGCAAAGAACAATAATTCAAGACTGCATTTCAAGGTAACCTTGTGCACTGAGAGGAGACCACTGCTCTGAAAAGAAGCCAGTTCGCAGAAAGCTTGGGAAGTGTGTGACGGGACACTGCTGATTTGTTCTCTACTAAGTTCTCGAGGAAGTCCCTGTCCTGTCGTTCTCCCCCACACACCCATCCCTACCCCCTGTCTTGTAGCTCCCTACAAGAGGAAGGAGGTCCTGCCCTCCTTCCTCCTGACACTAGCAGAACATGTCAAGGAAGATCTAAGCCCAGTGCCTGGAGGCTGTTTCTACTTCAGCCTCCCTCCTCCTCCTCCATTGAGGAGAGAAGGCAGCCTCCAGGGCTCAGGTGTCTCTAGGGTTTCTTGTGGCCACAGTCCACCACTTCCCTTGCCCAGAGCACTCAGGAGCAGGTGAGAAGATGAAAAAGAAGTGGATGAGGAGGTTTCAGCCAGGGATGGGTTTGGCTTTCCCGGAGTTCCATCTGTTGCCAGGGCCCACCCTCATGTGAGTCACTGCCAACTGTAACAGCCCCATGACCGTGTCGGCATGAGGCTTGGGGACCCCTGTGTGATGGTGTGGTGTGGCTTGGGCTTAGAATGGGGCGTGATGGTAGAGCACTTGCCTAGCACTCGAGGCCCTGTGTCCCATCCCTGGCACCACCAAAGTATGTGGGATGATGACAGATTAACTTGGACCCTGCTCCCTGATGCTGACTTCTGCTTGGTTGCGCAGAATGGCGTGAAAGAACAGAAAGACAGCCCCAGAGGCCTGGGGCTCCATCCTGCCTTAATCCTGACCTGTGCCAGTTGGGTGATCTTATATTCATTCAACAAATAGTCTCTGGGTGTCATCTAAGGGGGCCACAGGCCTGCATCAAGCCTGCTTTGTGCAAGAGACACAAAAAGACCAAAGGACAGGGCGAAAGCCTAAAAGGTAGGATGTGGGGAGCTCATGGCAGAGCATAGCAGAGGTGGGGATGGGGGTGAGGACCACTGAGGCACAGAGGTCAGGAGATGGTTCTCAGGGAGGTGACATTTATATGCTACCAGAAAATGAGGCAGAGCCCACCAGGAGCTGAGGACCTTTGCAGCAGAGAAAGCAGCACTCTCAGGGCCTGTGGTGGGTAAAGGCTATGCTAAAAGACCAGGGTCACTAGTGCACCAAAAAGCCATGGGCCTTTGACGCAGGGAGGGACATAGTTTGATTGTGATGTGCGTGTTAAAGCATACAGAACATGGGCCAGATGTAATGGGACACGCTTATGACCCGAGCAGTGAGGACACTGGGGTAGGGGGCTGGTAAGTTCATGGCTACCCTAGAGTACACAGTGAGTTCCGGGCCGGCAAGGACTACAAGCTGAGACCCTGCTCAGAGAGACAGATAGACAGACAGAGCTCTCTGTGAGTTTCGGGCCAGCCTGGTCTCCACAGTGAGACCATTTCTCAAAAACAAAAACTGTAGCGAGAGAAGGGAGGCATGAGTGTTGACATTTCAGCCACAGTATGTAGAGTTGAGACAGGCGAGGTAGCTCAGTGGGTAGAGGTGCTTGCTGCCAAGCCTGACAGCCTGAGCTCCAACCCTGGAATACACGTGGTGGACGGAGACAACCGAGTCCCACAGGTTGTCCTCTGACTTCCACCAGCATGCTGAGTGAGGCACACCATATATATATACATACATACGTATGTATGTATCACACACACGAGTAAACACAAGCACAAATTTTAAATTTTAAACAGAAAAACCACCCCTGGCCCTGGATGATGAGGGTGCGGATAACTGGGAGGAAAAATCCAATGTGCAGGTAGTTCAGAGAGGATCGTGGGGAGAGCAGTTGGGTGACGACTGGGGGCTGGCTATGGAGGGCACTGTGCTCAGCTGTGGCGCCCGTAACTGGGAAGCTGGGGTGGGGGTGTCTGTGATCTATGTAATCACGTGATCTGAACAGTCAATGACAGGTGTTAGGTAGGCAGAGGGTTTGGTGTGTGCGTGTATCAAGCATAGGGCCCAAGTCAGCCTTGGGTGTTCTTTAGGACTCATCCACATTGTTTTTTCAGGGTCTCTCTTGGGCCCGGAGCTCACCAGTTAAGCTGGCTATTGAGGCCCAGGGACATTCATGTCTCTGCCTCCCCAGCGCTGAGATCAAAAACATGTACTACCTGGCCTGGATTATTTTATACGGGTGCTGGGGACTGAACTCAGGTCCTCAGGTGTTCACGGTGAACTACACTCTGGCTTTTTTTTTTTTTTTTTTTTTTTTTTTTTTGCTGTTGTTGAGACATAATCTCATATAGCCAAGGCTGGCCTCAAACTTACTAACTAGGTGCTGGTAAGATGGTTTAGCAGTTAAGACTGCTTTTCCAGAGGACCGGGTTCAATTCCCAGCACCCACATGGCAGCTCACAACTGTCTGTAACTCCAAGATCTGACACCCTCACACAGACATACATGAAGGCAAACACAAATGCACATAAAATAAAAACAAATAAATTCAAAAGAAACTTACTAAGTATGTGAGGATGCCCTTGAACTCTTGATCCTCCCGCCTCTACCTCCCAAGAGCTGCCACATCCCACTTGGGCAGTTGGTCTGAGTCTGGAGCCGGGCCGAGGTATGTGAGCAACCTTTGTGCACAGTTGGTCTTGCTGACATGGGCTGGGCTGGCAGCACATTCCACAGACTGAGCTGGTAGAGAAGGTGAAGGACAGGCTGGGGACAGAGAGAAGCCAGAGGTAGAAGGAAAAGCCCAGGATGCACAGGGCTCCGGAAGCTAGGAGGAGGACCTCTAGTGGGAGGGGAGCCATGTGCCAGGGCCTCCCTGGGGTCTTCCTGGCAGGGCATCACACCGGGCAGAGGGCACAGGCTGGCAGCTGGCAGCACTGCCTTGTTCCACCTGCTGGTCACTGGTGGAAATGACCCTCCTCAGTATGGCGTGAGCCAGGCCAACTCTGGGTAAGTCCCACCTTCCCTCCAACTAGGAGAGGAACCGCCATCTATGAAGGGCACGCCACCACCCCACTTCCTGGTCACTCTGTTTCAGGACAGAGTAGGCTACCCTATGCTCTGTGAAAGGCTCTGCCCCTGTGGGTGTCCTGTTTCTGTCTGGGGCCAGGAACTGAGAAGGGCTCACTCATTTCTCTGCAAGGATCTGCCCCCACCTACCCCCCCCCCCCCCACCTCTCCACCCCCGGGCCACACTTGAACCTGTGGTTTTGCTGTCTCTTTGGTGGAACCCTCTTATCCATGCTGGGTCTTATTTAGTGACACTGCTCAAGCTCTATTATATAGTAAGTTTGGGGCCAGCCCAGACTACAACAGCAGCAACAAA